CGTTCCTTCCAATGCTACAGTTTGATTTGATCTAGTCTAGTGTCCTGTTCACAAGACCCCTAAGAGCCCAGGATTCCAGATAGACTGCCTCTGTACCTGGAGACCCCCTCAGCTTCCTGCACCCTTTCCTTCCAGAATAATCATCATCATCATCATCATCATCATCATCATCATTTATTATTTATAACCCGCCTGTCTGGCTGCCACTCTGGGCAGCTTCCAACACAATATTAAAATACAGTAATACATCAAGCGTTAAAAGCTTCCCTAAACAGGGCTGCCTTCAGATGCCTTCTAAACGTCAGGTAGTTGTTGTTCTCTTTGACATCTGGTGGGAGGGTGTTCCACAGGGCAGGCACCACCACCAAGAAGGCCCTCTGCCTGGTTCCCTGTAACTTGGCTTCTTACAATGAGGGAACTGCCAGAAGGCCCTTGGAGCTGGACCTCAGTGTCCAGGCTGAACGATGGAGGTGGAGACACTCCTTCGGGTATACTGGACCGAGGCTGTTTAGGGCTTGAAAAGTTAGCACCAACACTTTGAATTTTGCTCAGAAATGTTACTGGGAGCCAATGTAGGTCTTTCAGGATGAGTATTATATGGTCTTGGTGGCCGCTCCCAGTCACCAGTCTGGCTGCTGCATTCTGGATTAGTTGTAATTTCCAGGTCACTTTCAAAGGTAGCCCCACGTAGAGCGCATTGCAGTAGTCCAAGCAAGAGATAACCAGAGCATGCACCACTCTGGAGAGACAGTCTGCCGGCAGGGAGGGTCTCATCCTGCGTACCAGATGGAGCTGATAAAAAGCTGCCCTGGACACAGAATGGGTCTGCACCTCCATGGACAGCTGTGAGTCCAAAATGACTCCCAGGCTGCGCACCTGGTCCTTCAGGGGCACAGTTACCCCATTCAGGACCAGGGAGTCCTCCACATCCGCCCACCCCCTGTCCCCAGAAACAGTACTTCTGTCTTGTCAGGATTCAACCTCAATCCATTAGCCGCCATCCATCCTCCAGATCACGGAGGGAAAGCAATACAATGATGATCTGAACCCCCCTGACTCTGGTTCCATTGCGTCGCTTTTTGTTTTGCAGCCCGTCGGCTGCTCTGCCTAGGAGGCGGCGACGGTTTTGTTCCCAGCTCGGGATTTTTCGTCAAGTGGAGCCGATCAGCAGGTTCTCCCAGTCTGGGTAGGGTTCGGAGGATAACAACGTGGGTGTTCTCACCTGGTGAGACCTGCTGGCGCACCCCGGGCTGCTGGAATGCGCTGGGGCCGCACCCTGGTCCACAGTGACGCAGGTCTCATGCACTCCGCAGCCGAACATGTTCCCAGCTCAAGGAAGTAAAGCGTAACTAGGCCAGACTCTCCCAGTCTCACAGACTGGGAAGCTCATGTAAATTCCAGTTTCACTGGGATCAAGAGGCTTTATCTCCCTGGGGAACCTTCCTTTCTCTTTCGTATTTATTTTATAATACAGTGGTACCTCTGGTTGCGAACCGGATCTGTTCCGGAGGCCTATTCGCAACCTGAAAGGAACGCAACCCGCGTCGGCGGGTCGCGATTCACTGCTTCTGCGCATGCCTGTGATTCCATTTTGTGCATCTGCGCATGCACGAGTGGCGAAACCCAGAAGTAACCCTTTCCGGTACTTCTGGGTCACTGCGGGACGCAACCTGAAAGCACTCAACCTGAAGCAAACGTAACATGAGGCATGACTGTAAATGTATACAGCGGTACCTCGGTTTACGAACTTAATCCGTTCCGGAAGTCCGTTCTTAAACCGAAACCGTTCATAAACCGAGGCACGCTATCCCTAATGAGGCCTCCCGTTGCTGGTGCCCTTCCACCGTTCGGATTCCGTTTGTAGACCAAGGTAAAGTTCGCAATCTGGGACACTACTTCCAGTTTTGCGCAGTTCGTAAACCAAATCGTTTGTAAACAGGCCTGTTCTTAAACAGATTCACTCTGTTCTTAAACAGAGTTCAGATTCACCGCTCTGAACTGGTGGTTCATAGAGAGACTCGCCGGTCTCCTAACCTGGGCCTTTCAGGCGGATCTTTAAAATACTTTGAATAAAAAGGTAAAGGTACCCCTGCCCGTACGGGCCAGTCTTGCCAGACTCTAGGGTTGTGCGCCCATCTCACTCAAGAGGCCGGGGGCCAGCGCTGTCCGAAGACACTTCCGGGTCACGTGCCCAGCGTACAGTACTAGGCGGCGTTTTTGGTGGGGATTTTACAACAAGGCTCGAGGGTTGCGTTCATCATATAGGTGCTCACGCTGTGCTGATGGGAGAGGTGGTCTGAAATCCATGCCCCCTGACTTCGCCCAAAGCACAAGACTTCTCTCAAAAGAATTCTGGGAACTGTAGTATGCCAAGGGTGCTAGGAGCTGCCGCTCTGTGAGGGGGAACTACAGTTCCCATGATGTCTCTTTTTGCATGACAGGAAGGTTCTGTTACAGGAAAGGAGATTCTGCCAATAATAATAATAATAATAATAATAATAATAATAATATTATTTATACCCCGACCATCTGGTGGGTTTCCCTAGCCACTCTGGGCAGCTTCCAGCAAAATATTAAAATACCTTAATACATCAGACATTAAAAACTTCCCTAAACAGGGCTGCCTTCAGATGTCTTCTAACAGTCTGGGAGTTGTTGTTCTCTTTGACATCTGGTGGGAGGGCATTCCACAAGGCGGGTGCCACCACCAAGAAGGCCCTCTGCCTGGTTCCCTGTAACTTGGCTTCTCACAGTGAGGGAACTGCCAAAAGGCCCTCGGAGCTGGACCTCAGTGTCCGGGCTGAACGATGGAGGTGGAGGTGCTCCTTCAGGTATACAGGACCGAGGCCATTGAGGGTTTTAAAGGTCAGCACCAACACTTTGAATTGTGCTCGGAAATGTTCTGGGAGCCAATGCAGATCTCTCAGGACCGGTGTTACGTGGTCCTGGCGTCCACTCCCAGTCCCTAGTCTAGCTGCCGCATTCTGGATTAGTTGTAGTTTCCGGGTCACCTTCAAAGGTAGCCCCACGTAGAGCGCATTGCAGTAGTCCAAGCGGGAGATAACCAGAGCATGCACCACTCTGGCGAGACAGTCTGCGGGCAGGGAGGGTCTCATTCTGCGTACCAGGTGGAGCTGGTAGACAGCCGCCCTGGACACAGAATGGACCTGCGCCTCCATGGACAGCTGTGAGTCCAGAATGACTCCCAGGCTGCGCACCTGGTCCTTCAGGGGCACAGTTGCCACATTCCGGACCAGGGAATCCCCCACACCTGCCCGCCTCCTGTCCCCGCAAAACAGGATTATGTCTTGTCAGGATTCAGCCTCAATCCGTTAGCAGCCATCCATCCTCCAACCGCCTCCAGACACTCACAGCCTAGACATCAGGAAGAATTTTCTGACAGAAAGAGCTGTGGAATGGACTCTCTCGGGAGGTTTTTGGTCTCCCCTTCCTTAGAGGTTTCAAGGCAGAGGATGGATGGCCATCTGTCTGAGATGATCTAGTTGAGATTCCTTCATTGCAGGGGTTGGACTAGATGCCCTTTGGGCTCCCATCTTCCAACTCAACAATTCTATGAATAAGAGCTTGCAGAATGCAGGGAGATCCCAGAAGAGATGGGGGCAGGAGCTCCACTCATGAGCACCTCCTCCAGGCTGAGGAGTTACTGGTGGATTTTGGAATTCATCCATGGGTTCTTGGGAGAAAGGGCAATTTGAATTTTGACTCTCCCATTCTGAGTATTTGTCAACAAGGAAAAACCAAATCTGTTCAGATCTAAATGCATGTTCCGCTTCCAATAGCAGATCATAGAATCATAGAATCATAGAATCCTAGAGTTGGAAGAGACCACAAGGGCCATGGAGTCCAACCCCCTGCCAAGCAGGAAACACCATCAGAGCACTCCTGACATATGGTTGTCAAGCCTCTGCTTAAAGACCTCCAAAGGAGGAGACTCCACCACACTCCTTGGCAGCAAATTCCACTGTCGAACAGCTCTTACTGTCAGGAAGTTCTTCCTAATGTTTAGGTGGAATCTTCTTTCTTGTAGTTTGGATCCATTGCTCCGTGTCCGCTTCTCTGGAGCAGCAGAAAACAACCTTTCTCCCTCCTCTATGTGACATCCCTTTATATATTTGAACATGGCTATCATATCACCCCTTAACCTCCTCTTCTCCAGGCTAAACATGCCCAGCTCCCTTAGCCGTTCCTCATAAGGCATCGTTTCCAGGCCTTTGACCATTTTGGTTGCCCTCCTCTGGACACGTTCCAGTTTGTCAGTGTCCTTCTTGAACTGTGGTGCCCAGAACTGGACACAGTACTCCAGGTGAGGTCTGACCAGAGCAGAATACAGTGGCACTATTACTTCCCTTGATCTAGATGCTATACTCCTATTGATGCAGCCTAGAATTGCATTGGCTTTTATGCGCTCAGCAAATTATCACATTTGGATTTTCCAGAAAGCCGGTTGCTAGCTTGGGCCTCAATCCCAGAGCTGTGGGGCATCACAAGAGCAGAGTGGTGTTGTCGCTGGGCACAGAATTTCAGCATCCTGTGATTTGTTTTTCAAGTGTCCAGACCTCATGGACGCAAACATGGGTTTTATGTGGAACAAGACGAACCGCAGCGATTGTGAGGCAGAGCTTGCTTTGGGAGCCCTGTGCAAACTCTTGGCTTTCCCAAGACCAGCAGAATAAATTATGCAATCAAGCTAATGTATGCAAAGTACTTGATTTGCGTAATTCTTCCCTCCTCCCAACTAGAGAATCTAGGTGCCACCCCCAGCAGTTTCTTATATATTCTGGGTTCAAAATCCTAATCAGGCTAAACTGCCTTGGGTTAGCCTGGCTGGTGTTTCTGCAGATTTCAAAAAATGAATGCTGTCCTTAAACTGGAATGTGCTGCAGAAATATAAGATGTGCATCTTTTTTCTCAAGGCGACTCATCACCTATGTCATGGGTGTGGGTTTGTACTGCAAATAAATAGCCACAAACGTCACAGGTCCTTTCGATCTTTGAATTTATTATTATCAATAATAATAATTATTATTAACGGCACCATTATTAGTTGCTTTTTTTATCTGAAATTCTCACATTGAGAAAAGAAATAGCAAACATTTTTTCCCCTAGCGAAGAAAGTAGCAAACTTATTTTTTTTTCCATAAACAATTTAAATTTAGCACAATGTTCTCTTTTTCCCCATATTTCAAACACGAAAATATATATATATATATATTATTTTGGAATATTACAAAAAAAGATAAATAGTATATAAAATTGTTTGAATAAATAAAGTGTCTATAAATAGTTTACATTTCGGTTTTTTCGCTTATCGCAGTATTACAAGGTAAACATTGAGGGCTCATTTTAAATGAAATAAAAATACACACAGACACATACGTTCCCCACAATAATTAGACGCAGGTAGTTAGCATCAACATTTTATATATATAAAAGATTAAGAATTCCACCCCATCCCCTCATGGCTGCTCAGTCCCCCTTTAACCCCTGATCTCCATCCTTTGACGCTCCTAGTGATCAGTGTAAATATGTTGTGAAATAGCAAGACACACCTAGGTGGCTTATTTTCACCCTTCCACCAAAAGACAGAAAACCACAGAGTCTCTTATTTTGCAATCTCAGAAAAATTCAAGGCTCCTCCAACTTCCATGCTAGGGGCCAATGCTATTTTGATTTTATTTTAAACCCAACTCTCAGCCCCTTGTCGTTTGTGTGCGAGGGGAAGGGGGTTGCCCATTAAGGCAGCGAGGTCCAGGAATTCACAGTATGTTAGAAGCAACCAGAGATATATCTTTCTTTTTTTTTTCATTTTAAAAAATAAATAAACGAGGAAACTGGCAGAGGAAGCGTCGTCAGGATTGCACCTCTCCGCCCAATTTCCAACCGCCGTGTTGTCTGTCCCCCCTTCCCAGAGAGGAATTGTAAATCTGCTACATACAAAGTGGGGCGGGGGCGACGAGAAGGGCGGAACTGCTCCATTTCCCCACTGCGGAGATATTTGGGGCAGCTTGGGGTTTGGAGGAGCGATGCTCAACAGGCAAGAGGAATGCCAGTGACTAGATTGACCCATGGAATCCCTTCCAATGTGTCTGTGATCTCCCATCTCCCCCCCAAACCACAGCAAAAGAGTTTAGCAGACTGGGGAGGGATGAAGGAATGTTTTTGGGGGGAAAGAGATCTCCTAGCTGCCACCCCGTATTAGCAAAATTTCACAGGATGGGGAAAAGAGACACGAGAGAGGTGGACAGTTGGGATAATAAGCCTCGCACTTTCGGCTTTTCTCTGCCCAACTAACATGGCACTTTCGGAGACAAGGCACTGTTTCCCCTCCTTCTGCGTAGTTTTAAGAGGTGGAGCTCTGTAAGGGGTCGGCAACTGGCGGCCAGGGAGCCAAACCCGGCCATCGCCAATCTCTCTCTTTAGTCTCTCTCCAATCATCCTGTTTCGTCCGATTTGCGGTTTCCACTGCAGTGGTGGGTCAAATGATTTGGTGGTGGGTTTGTCATGCTAAAAAGGGTGTGCTGGGGGGGCAGAGGTCACTAGGGTGGGGAAGAGCAAAACCCAGGTGAGGAAGAAGGGGGGGGACCCTGCCCCACTGTCAAAGGCTCACTGTGGTCACCTGCCAATTGCATCGCTATCTACCTGCTGTTCGACGCAAGCGAGACTCTCGGGCCCTGACGTATTGGGTTGGGGGGCTGTGCCCCCTTTGAGCCTGCACAAGGCACTTGTGGGGTAAACGCAACAAACCAGAACCAATTTGGGTTGTTGTTCATTTCTCTCTCTCTTTTAAAAGGCGTTTTCCAGGCACATTTGGACGGAGGGGAGACGGGAAGGAGGGTTCCAGCCTCCTCTTTCGCGCTCTCCTCTCCCTCTTCCGTCAGCGAAAAGGACGCGGCAAAACACCAGGAAGTCCTGCGTGCGGCTTGAGGACCCCGGAGCAGCGACAGCTCCGAGGGATCGAGTCCAGAGGGTGGTTCGAACAGGCCCCACAAACCGGGAAGGTCATACGTAACACCTGTGCAGCGACAAATCACTCCCCGCATAAATCTGCAAATCGGCGAAGGTGCCGCGAGGCTCACTCGGAGACGGAGATTCGGTTGAAGATGGGGAGCCGGTTGCTGCTCCCCACAGGCCCGCTGGGGGCGTGGAAGTCAAAGACGGGCGAGTCGGAACCGCTCAGGCTGCTGGAGCTGCTGTAGCAGTCGGGGTCGGAGAGGGAGTTGGAGGAAGGCGTCCGGGGCAGGTTGGCGGAAGCGGCCGCAGAGGTCGGCGTCCCTGGAGCAGCGGAGAAGAGGTCCCGGTGGTGGGTCTGGAGAGGGCCGGACAAGCTGGCTGACTTGCCGCAGCGGCACGGACAGCACCCCCCAGAGGCTGGGATGGCCAGGGCTTCCCCCAGCGTGTGGAAGCGAGAGATGGGATCAGAGTTCAGGTGCCCGAATGTCGGGGAGAGGAGGTCGGCCGGGGCCGGAGGCGGCGAGACGGACGGCGCCCGGGCAAAGGAAGCCGGGTCGGGAACGCCGTGCAGAGGGGAAGAGCGTCGCCCGGCGGGCACCCCGGAGTAACTGACGCTCTGGCGCAGGAGCTGCGGCGACGACGAGGACGGCGAGCAGGCCTGGGCCTCCTCGATGGAGTGGATGAAGTGGCAGCGGGAGCCGTAGGGGCACTCGCCGTGGATGTAGAATTTGTGGCACAGCTCCGTCTTGTACTTGGGGTGGCGGCTGACCGTGCGCAGCTCGGCCGCGCCGTGGGCAAACTGGCACTTGGCCCCGTACTTGCACTTGCCCGTCTCACTGAAGGTGCGGCACAGCTCCGTCTTGTAGCGGGAAGAGAGTGGCGGCGCCGCCAGCGAGGGCAGCTTAAGGGGAGGGAAGCCCGGAGGAGGAGGCGGCAGCGCCTTGCTGCCCTCGATGAGGCTGATGGAGCGGTCGGGCCGCAAAGGCGGGCGGCGGGCGGGCTCGCTGAGGGGGCGCAACTGCTGCTCCGAGCCGGGGCTCCAGTGGCTGCGAAGTGGCCACAGCTGGGAGGAGTCCCCGCTGCTGTAGGGCGTGTCCAGGGAACAGGCGGAGTCGCGGCGCGAGGAGGGCATGTCCTGGTCCTCGCTCAGCGACAGGTTACGCAGGTTCTGTGGGGAGAGAAAGAGAGAGACGTGAGCTTTCGGTGCTGCTGCCTTGTGATTTATTTTTAAGCAGAGAATGGACGGCCCTCTGTCATGGAGGACTCAGTCGAGATTCCGGCATTGCAGGGGGTTGGAACAGATGACCCCTGGGGGCAGTGGCGTGCAGCCAGCGGGAACTAGGCTAGCCCCCTAAGTGTCCCCCTAGAGCAGGGGTCCTGCTAGGCTTCATCAATCTGTCCCGCCACCAGGCGAACAGGACGATTTTCGTGGCTGTTTCCTGCACCCCGGCGGGCAAACAGGGCTTCAGTCCCCCCAATATTTTGGGACAGCGAGATCTGACTCGGGGCCCCATTTGGTCCTCCCCGACATCAGGAGAGTGGGACGCATGAGGGCGGGACGAACAGAGTGGTGGTCTCCTGTTCCCCTACGAAAAAGCTGACCACACGAACATGAACGCCACCACAACGGCGAGAGCATTGTTAGCACAAAACTGGGAAGAAGATCAAATTCCAACGAAAAGGGACTGCCAAGTGAAGTTGATGGAATACGCAGAGATGACAAGGGCAGTTAAGAGACCAAGAGTGCCCAAAATTCAACAACAATTGGAGTAAATTTTTAAAAATATCTGGAAGATTACCGCGGCGATTTAACTTTTTTTGACTGGGCTAGAATGACTCTTGTAAAGATAACTAGTAGACACAGTGGAAAAGATGGTAAATAGAATATTAGATACAATTGGAAAGGCATATAATAGAGAATTCTACGGACCCAAGTAAGAGGTGGAAGGAAGTCCGGTGCAAACCAATGGTTTGAGGAATGCCTGCTTGTCATTTTGGGGCAAGTATTGATTTTCAAGGGATGGAACGACTCTGACTGAGTATCAGTTCAGATGACAACCTTGAGCTAGGTTAAGAACGTTGAGGAATTGAAGGAGGAAAGTCACTTGGCTCCAGGGACAGCCCACAATTATACTGGGCTGTTTTGACTGCTTTTTCTTAACGGCAACTGCTCCTGCTCAAATGAAGCATTTTGGTGCCAGTAATTCGTTCTGATTGTGCAGATAAAATATAACTAATTCTGCAGGATGGGGTATAGGGTGTGTGAAAACAGTCTGGATCAAATGATTCCCAGATGGTAGAGATGGCAAATTCCAAACACTCTGCTTCTTCTGTAGAAGCTCTGTCCCCAAAGTCAGCCTATAAATAAGTTTACAAACACAGGTAGATGCCGGAAGTGTGCTGGAGACCAAAAATCTGGGAGATCGTTGTCTCCAGTATTTCCCCCCCTGAGATCCTGCCCTAGAAATGCGATACAATCAAGATTTTGAAGGAGGCTCAGCCTCAATCCTTCACCCCTCTCTCCAAGAACGTCAAAAATTATATCCTAGTAATTGCATTTCTTTCCCACCTTTTCCCTCCCCTGCAGAAAAGGAGAGCTCAAGCTGGCATAGCTGGTTCTCGTTTAATCCCCATAACAGCCTTGCGTGGCAGGTTAGGCTGGGTGGGAGAGTGACCGACTGGCCCATAATCTTCACGGCAGGGATTCGAACCCAGGTCTCCCTAGTTCTACATCACACTGGCTGCCGCGACAAGGCAGCTGGCGGAGGAGAAGGAGGCGGAGGCGCTGAGCAAGGGCGAACAGGTTTCTGAGAGCAGAGCGGGCCTCGCTGCGGTGCAGGAAAAGGTGACGTCAGGCAGTTTCATATAGCCGCGGTGGGCTGGGTCGCAGTTATTTTTAACGCTGGGCCTGCGCCAGAGCTGGAGGGGGGACAGCTGCTCCTCTGACTGCGGAGAGCCAGAAAGATAGGGGAGGAAGGGAGGGTTGTGGGAGCCCAGAAAGCCTTTCACCTACTAGAGGCACATTATCACTTTGCTATCGCCTGGGCTAATTAAGGAGGCAGGGAAGCATCTGGCTGCTGGATGAGGCCCAAAGGGGCCCACCGAGTCCAGCAACCTGTTCTTGCCATGGCCAAATACCCCAGCAAACCTAGAAATCAGGGTAGATTGCCACTGGAGCTGGAGGTTCCACAAGCCTGCGCATCTATAGTCCAACATCCTGCTTTTTGTACCAGATGCCAATATGGGGAAACCCCGTGAGCTCCTGAGCCGAGGGGGCGCAGACAAGGGCTGCCTCATTTCATAGCAACACAGAATCACAGGGTTGGGTGGGACCTCCAAAGTCATCTAGACCAACCCACTGCAATGCAGGAACAATTTGTTTCCAGCTCAACCAAGTTCGCAGGTCGAGGAACAATTTGCGGATTCAGTTTACTGGCATTTTGAAGCCACCGGTTTGGGTTCGGACCTGCCGTTCCAATTCGGATGGCTTGTGTTTTAAATGGAAATCTCTCTCTCTCTCTGCGTAAAAAAATACAAGTTTGAATCAGGTCTGTGGACTTTGGCGTTAGACGGGCCACGCCTCAAAGTGTCCCAAAGTCAAAAGCTGCAAAACAGCACTGATAAAAAGACTAACAAGGGAAAGCTCCCATCTTGTAAATGAAGTTGTCGAGTTGGAAGGGACCTCTGACGGTCATCTAGTCCAACCCACTGGGTGGAGAATCCGGGTTCCACAGAGTGTGCAATCTCAGCTTAAATGGATGAGGAGAGACAAGGGAGACAGGATGGACAGGGCACAGCTGAGACGGGTGGCAGCGCAGGTGCGGCCCAGGTAAGGCAGGCGAAGAAAAGATTTGCTAAACAGGAATTGCTCGGCAGATGAGTGGCAGGAGCCTGACAAACAGGAAGAGGAAGTCCTGCCCCCAGGAAGTGGCAAGCATCTTTTTTTAAGGTGGGGGAGAGATTGCCAGGTAGATGGCAATGGAAAAACACGTGCAAAGGGAAGGAAGGTTGTCAATGAAAGATCTCTAGCCAGGAAGCAGACTTCGTTGAACCATGAGATCTAGAAACTCAAAACGAATGCCGAGCGACAGAAAGGACAAAGACTCAATTTTTCTTGTGCGTTCCCACATGATTTCACTGTTTCCCACGCCTACACTCGAGGGCCCCTTCGACTTCTGGCAAATATCCAGAGTTGCACATTGGGCGTTATTCGGAATAGTGTGGTGCAATGGTGAGAGTATCTAGGATCAGGAGCTGGGTTCAAATGCCCCATCAGCCACATGAAGCTCGCTGCTGCCTTTCTCAGCCTAACCTACCTCACAGGGCTGTTGTGGGCATTTAAAAGAAGAGAACCGTGTACACGACGCCTTGAGATCCTTGGAAGAAAAGGTGGGGTATATAACCACAATAACTAAATAAGGTAAAATAAGCCCTTCCTCATCTTGCACCAACAAACACACACTACCTGAGTGGCGCTTACAGAAACCCAAGCTGCCCCAGACTTATCTGGGACCGAGAGGCCGTAAAATGTCTTTGCGTCGGAAATCAGGTGTCAAACTAAACTTGCATGTGCTGTCAAAAATAAAAATGGAACTTCTTCAGGAGGCTAACTGCTATTTATTTGTTTTTTTTATCAAGACTTTCCAAAGCTGCAAGATTTATTAAAACCAATCAAAACAAGAGCAGTGTCCCTGGTGGAAGTCTTTTTTTGGATAAATGAGAATTTTTTTTACACCCTATTGTCCAAAACCTGTAATATGGAAAACTGGACACCATGCCTAAACCCTGCTTTTAAAATGCTGGGGCTAAATTCTCAAAGTGTGTGAGATCACAAGGGAAGAGAGCACAATTTGAGCATGTGCCGTGTTCTTTTCCCAGAACTCCACGACCACATATAAACCAGGCTCCACCTATATCTACAATCTGGAGGGGTAGAAACTTTGAAAAACAACTCCCCCCTGTTTTGCCACCTGGCCCGTTAATCTTCACAAATCTGCTCCTTAATCATCCAAGCCATAAGACCCCTTATCAAGATGTGGCAAGAGTCAGCACCTATTTCTCAATCTTTCACTGACATGATCTGCGCCTTTCAGTGAACTGGGGGCGACGCATGCAAGAATAATGGGCTGTCGGTGCAGATTCTCTCGAATTCATTTTGAGATATTTGGAGATATTTTGCAAACCGGTCCTCCACGTAGCCCAGCAGCCAACACAGCTTCTGAGTTTGACAGTTCATCCCAGGATGGGAAAACCTGCCTTCGTTCCTTCCTGCCTGTCGAGAAGGGTGTGGTCTATTTAATTTAGCAGGGGTGTCTGGGGCTGATGGGAATTGTAGTCCAAGAAATCTGGCGGGCACCAGCTTGGCAAAGACTCTCTAGACCAGGGAGGCCTGTAATAATAAGCTCTCTTGCTCCAGAAGGCGCTCATGGCATGCACATTTTAAGGAGGAATATTTTGGGGTCCTGTTTTAAAGTAATTATCTGTTTTGCAGGGTTCGCAGAAGGCTTCAAGAAAATGCAAGCTAATTCCTTGCTCACACAGAAGCAGACAAGCCTTTTGCGCATGTGATGAGGCTGACATTCGCATGAGGACTGTCAGGTTTTGTGGACGTGGTCGCAAGGCTGCTCCCATTGATGTGGGCCTTGCTTCAGAGGAGTGGACTGTTGCTTAACGCATTTTCTGCTATGGGGCTGAAAACACGTCACCTCCAACTAATTGCGGAAATTTACCTTCACTCAACATCTGCCCAAAGTATTCCACATAACCCCAAAACTTTAATTCCTCATTTCTCAATCTAGCCAAAGCCTTCTTGGGCTCCCAACTGAACGAGCCCTTTATCGGCGGGTTGTAAACTATCTTGCTTTATTTACGATTTGCACAGCCTACCGGGAAACAAAATCAGACGTATAGAGGCTTGCATGTTTATTTTAAAAAATTCCTATGTAACTCTCACCGTAAAGTCCCAAAACATACATTCAACAAACAAATGATTCAGGCCCATTCAGTTTTTTCTATAGAGGAAACTTTGTCACACCCTCTCAACAAAGATAAATGTTTTCCTTGATTCAATTGTGGTTTTTTCTTGTCCCTCTCCTGAGCAGATCAGGTGGTGAACAAGGTTCCTTCTCCACCCCTATTTTATACTCACAACAACCCTGTAAAGTAGGGCAAGTCATTGGTCCGAAATCACCCGGGGGATCTGAACCCCAGATCCTAATGGCTGGGACCTAATCTAGCACCAGACTGCATTGGCTCCATTATATACCCAATATTGTTTTTTAGACCTCTTCTTACAGATTCTGCACAGAAAATTCAATCTGCCGCAGCGATTCTGTGCAGGGCAAGAACAGAATTTCATTTCCTGGGTCTTTTGCGGGACTGAAACCCGTGCACCGATCCTGGACTGCTGCAGTTTAAGGAAAGGGCTTGTGAAATCTGAAGTCGGAGTGTTTTAGCATTCGCACACAAAAGCCTGCTTGATTTCACAGCCCCAGAAAGAAAAGAAGAAACAGAACTATTGACCTAGAAAAAAGTGCTGTTCCTCCCTCCAGGAAGTAAGCCAGCAAAAAAAAAATGTTCCTGTCCCCTCCCATTCCCTTCTGAGCCACCCACCACCCAATTCAATTTGGAGAGAACCGGGTGGGGCAGAATCTAGGAAGGGGGGCACAAACAACCCCCCTCCAAAACAAAGTAGCCCAAATAGGCATCAATCTCTCTCTGTACAGTTCCTTCCATTTCTCAAAAGAAAGGTCGGCTTGAGCCACATTTCTCAGATTTGGGGTTTTTTTTTCCTCAATAGAAGCTGGATAATAAGAAAGGGAATCCTGCAAAATAACTGGAGCCCCTCGCCAAGATTTTCCAGGTAAGGATGAGAGCTGGGGAGGAGATATTCAGGGTTCAAAATGGGTGTGCTTTGCAGAGTAGAGCCACATTAGAGAGCAGGGGGGAGAAGAAAACTCGGATTCCCAACACTTGCCTGGAATTTAACTCTTTTGCCTGAAAGGTGACACAGAGCTCTGTGTCACTCAAAAGCTTGCGTTGTCATACAAGGAAATCTAGACGCCCAAAAAGAACTATCTTACTTTAAGCACACACACACACACACACACACACACACACACACACACACTATCTCCCTTTTTGACATAAACACACCACCAATTGTGTGGAAAATGTGTCCCGGGCTGTCTTGGCAGAAGGAGGTCAGGCAGCGGGTGCTGTCAACAAGAAACCGCAGCGCCCCGAAGAAATTTTCCTACCCGAAAGTCAAAAAAAGGACACCCTCCTTCCTCCTAGCTCTGAAGTGGCGTCCACTTTAAAAAATACAAATGACACCCGGTGGGTGGAGGCAGGAAAAATGGCCGGTCCAGCCCGGGATGTAGTTAGGTCTAGCAGTAAAGAAAGAGATCATTAAGTTTTACTATCCGGCGACCAGCAATCTCAAGAGGGAAAGGTTCCTGTCTGATCCAGAGATCTCTCTCTCACACACACACACAAATATATTTCTAACTTCCAAGGTTACACCAGCCCACAGGACTGCCAGGAAAATCCCTACCAACAATCAGTCCCTAGGAGCCAAAATATCCCAGCCAAATCCAGGACTCTTTCCAGTCTCCCGTAACCGTTCCCGGATCTCGGGTCTTTCTGGAAAGTCCAAAACCGATTTGGCGACTCGGTATCGGAGGAACAGGACGGAAAGAGGGGGGGGAGGGAAGGGGTGGCAGCGGGGAACATCCGACCTTCCTTTTCGACCTCGGCTGGGAAGGAAAGAGGGCGAAAAGTAGTTGCCAGAAGCTGCGTAAAAAGCCCGGAACCAAAAACGCAATGCAAACCGCGCGCTGAAAGGTTTTCTCTTTCATGGAGGGCATCCCCTTCCTTCGCTTGGGAGACAGTCCCCAGCCCCTCCGCGCTTTTTCCGCGCTGCTGCGCGTACCTGGAAGATGGTGTTGACGTCCAAGATGGAGCTCATCGCGCTACGTGGGGCTCTCGGCTGGGGCTCCGGCTGCGCCGCCGCGTAAGGCTACTTTGCTGGGCTGCGCGCGTCGCGTCTCACGCGGGGAAGCTGAGAGCGCAGCGCCGGGGCTGCGCCTTTTATTAAGGGCTGGCGATGAGCTCATGGGGCGGAGACGCGGCAGCCGGAGCTGGAGGTTGCAGGGAAGGCGGGTGCCCAGAAAGGGGGAGAGGGAGAAGGGAAGAAAGAGAAAGAGGGCCGGGGGGGAGCGCGCAGGAAATGGAGAGGACATTTATTCGCCGCTTGTTCTTGCCAGGGCAACCTACAGAAACAAGCAAACCCAAGCCACATTTTTATGGTTACCAAACTTGGCTCTCTCCAGTTGTTTTTGGAAAGCAGTGCTAGCTAGCTTTCTTTCTTTTATATATAATTTTTTATTAGTTTTTTTAACATATCATTTTCAACAGTCATTAAACATCCTTTTACATCTTATTCAAATTTTTGACTTCCATCAATCCTGAAAATTTTACAGTCTAATCTCTCAGTATGCATTTCTGATCTTCCCTATTGCATTTCAAACTCATAACCAATATCTCTACCTTTTTCTACTTTGTAACACTTTGTATATTTCTCCTTACAAAACTTCTTGTAGTCCTACTAGCGTAATTTGTTGATTACAGTTGCTCTTTGAATAGTTCGTATATTTCTTCCAATCTTCTGTCAATCTCTCGTCCCTCAGGTTTCGAATCCTTCCTGTCATTTTGTCCAATTCTGCATAGTCCATTAATTTCGTCTGCCATTCTTCTTTCGTCGGAATTTCTTCTTGTTTCCATTTCTGGGCTAACAATGCTCTTGCCGCAGTTGTTGCATATAAGAACAATTTAACATATTGCCTATTAATGTCCTGACCTATAACGCCAAGTAAAAATGCTTCTGGTTTTTTTAAAAAATGTATATTTCAACATCTTTTTCATCTCATTATATATCATTTCCCAGAAGTTCTTTACTTTTTTACATTCCCACCACACATGATAAAATGTTCCTTCTTTTTCTTTACATTTCCAACATTTATTATTTGTCTTGTACATTTTAGCTAATTTCACTGGTGTAATATACCATCTATACATCGTTTTCATCATATTCTCTTTCAAAGCATTACAGACTGTAAATTTTATCCTTTCATTCCACAACCTTTCCCATTCTTCAAGGAAAGCAAATGCTAACCATCAGCCCTAACCACTGGTCTTGCTGGCTAGGGATGGTGGGAGTTGTAGTCTAACAACAGCTGGGGATGCAAATTTGGGAAACACTGTTCTAGGTCATAGAAGTTTAGAGTCGGAAGGCATCGAGTCCAACCCCCTCTTGCAATGGAGGAATCGCCACTAAAGCGTCCTCTTTGACATATGGCCGCTTTCAGATTGTTACCCAATGTTGTTTTTAATGTGGTAACCCGGCCTGGGTGCCTTCGGGCGAAGGTCGGGGGATAACAAGATTTTATTTATCTATCTTATCTATTGCCGTTCCTTAGTGCCCTTTATCCGAGGGTCACAGGGCGGCTTGCAATAGAAAGAAACAAAAAGCATCACGTAGTAACAAAGAAAACAATAACACCCCCCAGCTTAAAAGGCCATATGTGGGGCTCCCTTTGAAGGCGACCCGGAAACTACAACTAATCCAGAATGCGGCAGCTAGACTGGTGACTGGGAGCGGCCACCGAGACCCTATAACACTGGTCCTGAGAGATCTGCATTGGCTCCCAGTACATTTCTGAGCACGATTCAAAGTGTTGGTGCTGACCTTTAAAGCCCTAAACGGCCCAGTAGACCTGAAGGAGTGTCTCCACCCCCATCGTTCTGCCCAGACACTGAGGTCCAGCTCCGAGGGCCTTCTGGCGGTTCCCTCCTTGCAAGAAGCCAAATTACAGGGAACCAGGCAGAGGGCCTTCTCGGTGGTGGCGCCCGCCCTGTGGAACTCCCTCCCTTCAGATGTCAAAGAGAAGAACAACTACCAGACTTTTAGAAGACATCTGAAGGCAGCCCTGTAATGTTTAACAGACCACTGTGTTTTAATACTTTGTTGGAAGCCGCCCAGAGTGGCCGGGGAAGCCCAGCCAGATGGGCAGGGTATAAATAATAAATTATTATTATTAATTAGCCAAAAGCTAATGATAATGATAATAATAAATAAAGATTAATACATTAATCCCACATGTTTACATTAAAAGCGAGGAGAAACAATGCATTAGAACAGGGGTTGGCAAACTAAGGGTCGCGGGCCGAATCAGGCCCAATGGCCTTCAGGATCTGGCCCGCGGGCTGTCTGTGGATCGCCGTGGGGATTCTGTTCATTCAGGCTGCGTCATTTTTCCCCTTGTGCCATTCCATTCCCACCCCTTCCTCTCACACACCGTGGTGATGCCTCCTCCCTCCCTCCCTCCTCCCAGCTTCTCCCTGCCCTGCCTAGAGGAGGAAGGGGGCTGGGCTGAGCTGGCTGAGCCCCATTTTAAGCAGCCCCTCTCTGGAGCCAACCCTTTTGCGCCGCTCATTTTCCCTCCGCCGCTGCCGCCCTGGTGCTCCTGTGGGCCAGAGAGCGGAACAGACAAGCTCGCTCTGCCAACCCACGAGAAGCAGTGGCGGTGGCGACGACCCCTGGGAAGGTAATCGCAGCGGCTGGGGGTGGGGGCTGGGGAGGAGGACTACTTGCCCCCCTTGCCTCTTCTTCCAGTTCGGTGCTGCTCGGCAGCTAAAAAAGCCAATGCAATTCTGGGCTGCATCAATAGGAGTATAGCATCTAGATCAAGGGAAGTAATAGTGCCACTGTATTCTGCTCTGGTCAGACCTCACCTGGAGTACTGTGTCCAGTTCTGGGCACCACAGTTCAAGAAGGACACTGACAAACTGGAACGTGTCCAGAGGAGGGCAACCAAAATGGTCAAAGGCCTGGAAATGATGCCTTATGAGGAACGGCTAAGGGAGCTGGGCATGTTTAGCCTGGAGAAGAGGAGGTTAAGGGGTGATATGATAGCCATGTTCAAATATATAAAAGGATGTCACATAGAGGAGGGAGAAAGGTTGTTTTCTGCTGCTCCAGAGAAGCGGACACGGAGCAATGGATCCAAACTACAAGAAAGAAGATTCCACCTAAACATTAGGAAGAACTTCCTGACAGTAAGAGCTGTTCGACAGTGGAATTTGCTGCCAAGGAGTGTGGTGGAGTCTCCTCCTTTGGAGGTCTTTAAGCAGAGGCTTGACAACCATATGTCAGGAGTGCTCTGATGGTGTTTCCTGCTTGGCAGGGGGTTGGACTCGATGGCCCTTGTGGTCTATTCCAACTCTAGGATTCTATGATTCTAGGGTCAGTGGACCAGCCCGCAGCTAAAAAAATTTGCTGACTCCTGTATTCAAAACATCACACACCCCCATGGCCACAGGTGGTTAAAAGCCAAAAGGCCTGGTCCGAGAGGGGTGTTTTTGCCTGGGCTCCCCCCACTGCATCGCCCCCTCTTCTCTTGGGAAAGTTCAGCCTGAGTCGGGACAGTGCTGGGCCATCTCGTTTTTTTGCCAGCACAGGCTGGCAGCATCCGGGCAGGGGTTTGGGTGAGGGGTGCTCCAGAGAGATGTAAGAAGAGGCTGTTTGGTCAGATAAAAGGGGGGGTTCATTTGGGCCAGCGTTCTATTCCTGTAAACCTAGGAATCAAGATAGACTGCCCCTGGACCAGCAGGTACCACAAAGGTGTAAGAAGAGCCTTGCTGCTGGATCACCTTTTTTGTAGGTGTGCAGTGTGGCAGACATGGTCCCCCCCATTTTAGCCTCACAACAGCCCTGTTGGGTAGGCTTGGCGGAGAAAGATTGACTGGCTCAAGGGCACCCAGTGAGCTTCATGGTCACCTCCAGACAACCTGTTTGTTGAGCATTTATCACCCTACACTCCCCGGCGGATTTCCCCATCACTTTCCTTACCACAAACAGTCCAGTTTTGTGGGAGTAGCAGGTTCGTTGCGCAAGAGCTCCAGATCCGCTTTGACTGTGCAGCCTGACTTTTCTGGAGGGTGACTGAATCCCACAAAAAAAGCAGCGGCAGTTTGGGAGCTGTCTCCCCTATCTTACCTGTGGTTTAAGCTTGATTGTGAAAAACCTCCGGGTGGTTTGCATTGAGAACGAAGCAAGGGAATTAGTTTCCAAAACAGTTAAAAGCAACCCTTTAAAATGTTTTCCCCAATTTAAAGTCAGCAACAAACTTAAAAGACAGCTTAAGGCACAAACTAACGTTCTACATATCTAGGCTTGCCATTCGTCAGGGAAATTCTGACATGTCCTGGTTTTCGGGTGCGGAAATGGCGTCAGGTCCAGTCGTGACCGACTCTGGGGTTGCGGCGCTCATCTCGCTTTATTGGCCGAGGGAGCCGGCATACAGCTTCCGGGTCATGTGGCCAGCATGACTAAGCCGCTTCTGGCAAACCAGAGCAGCGCACAGAAACGCCGTTTACCTTCCCGCTGGAGCGGTACCTATTTATCTACTTGCACTTGGACGTGCTTTCGAACTGGCAGGAGCAGGGACCGAGCAACGGGAGCTCACCCCGTCGCGGGGATTCAAACCGCCGACCTTCTGATCGGCAAGTCCTAGGCTCTGTGGTTTAACCCACAGCGCCACCCTAAATAGCATAGGGCAGGCTGGGTGGCTGCACTCCTGATATTGGCGCTGACCCCTCCTGTAGTTATGGTGCCAACTGAGCTGGGTCCCCCACCTCACACAGAAAAGGGAGTTTTATTTCGTGATGACATCAGTCATTCCCGTCTGGGCAAATCCCAGGACCTTCCTACAGAGGGAGCAGCTCCTTCCTGGCCTGTGCAGAAATCCCAGAAGGAATTCTGCCCTGGTTCAGCGTCTCCGGGTGCCTCCAGACCGACGGGTATTTCGTGGGATAGATTCAAGTACATCCCAAAACTTTAGGTTTGCACAGCTGACATGGGTGAGAGGGCTCTGTCGCCCAAATTCAATGGTTCTCAGGGGGGGGTTTCCTCCGGGCCACATTTTCGGAATGAACAATTGCTCGTACCACACTGAATTTTTCGTATTGATAAATGCGCTGGAAAACAAAAAGATGCAACTCCCAGCAGTGCTTGATTTATAACATAAAACATAACTGCCTTCCAATATTGTC